AATAAAAGATTAATGATTCGTAAAAATTTCTTTATCTTCATTTTAAAAGAATTCACATCCAATTAATGAGGATTACATCAGCAGATGACAGTTTTTAGAAGAAGACAATTGATCAGATAAAATAATAGATCAGATTAAACAAAACAAAACCAGGAGATAAGGCGCTTTTTTTCGTACCAAAAAAAAAAAAAAAAAAAAAAGAAAACAGAAACTTTATTTTGCTAATATTTTTTAAAACTAAATTTATACAAATTCATTAATAATGTTTAAAAATAAAGAAAAAATTTGAATTAGAAATAAATCCCAAAAATATTTTTAATTTACCAATGATAATTGTTTTACAAAATTTGCTCCATAAAATATTTGTAATTAGCATATGATAATTAAATATTTTACAAAATTTATTTTTTAAAGTGTTTTGAATTAGCTCATGATAAGATTTAAATGGTTTTATAAAACAAATGTGAAATTTAACGGAAAAAAGGAAAGAAAACAAATGTCAAAAAATCACGAATTATCGAGTGCCAGTAATATTAAATTTTAATTGTCAAATACATCATTGGTGACATGAAACATTACAGTACTTTTTTTTTTCAGATATGAAAGAAAGTTGAAAAAATTTTTTATAAAATTTGACATTTGAAAAAAGAAAACATAAAATGAAATTCTAAAAAAAAACGAATTTTTTCTTAAATTTTGAAAAGAAAATTTGTATAAAAAGTTATTATTTTTCAATGATTTTTAAAAACTTTTTAAAATTCAATAAAAAAACACTCCCAATTGAAAAATTAAAATTGTATCAAAACTTAAGCCGAAAATTTCGTAACTTAATTTGAATAATTTTGGTGAATTAATGAAGCATTTATTCAGGCCAATAAAATGGTTGCCCTAAATTTCTTTTGCAAATATGTGTGAATCGAAATATTCAATCGAACATTTTAAATTACACACCATTAGAAATGAATGTATGTTGCGTATGAAGTAACTATTTCAAAGATTTTTAAAAAATTTTCAATTTTAAAAAATTTTAAAAATTAAAAAAATTTTTATGTAATTTGAAATCTTTGGGAAAAAAATCCACAAGATGAAATTATAAAAAAAAGAGGAAATTTTTTCGTAAATTTTAAAAAAGAAAATTGTTTAAAAATTTTTGAAATCATAAATGTAAATTTTATTTTTTTTTTAAATTTCAATTATATTTTTCAAAATGTAAAAGCATTTTAAAATTTTAGCCATTTTTAAAATGAAATATTTTTCATAAAAATGTAAGTATAAATTTGAATGATACTGAAATAAATGAAAATGTTTTCAACAAATTTGTTAATCGATCGTTAAAAAAAAAAAGAAAAAAAAAAAGGAAAAAAGTGAAGTGACTCATGATGGGAATGATATGAAAATGATTAAATTTTAAAAAAAAATTTTTTTTCCTATTCATATGAATCAAAAGCATAGAAGTGTAAACGTGGAAAAGAAATGGAAAATAGAAAAAGTGAAGGAATTGAAAGGAATTAATTTAAAATATTTTTGAAAAAGAAAATCAGTGGTAAAGTTCTCAAAAAAATTTTTAAAGAATTTAGAAAAAAATTTAAAAAAAAAAATTATATACGAAACATTTGAAATTAATTATTACAATAAAAATTCTTCATTCTTTTTCTTGTTCTTTTTTATTTATAACAGAAATATATGATAACATTTGGATGAATTTTTTTAAAAAAAATTCAAAAACTATATTTAAATATTAATTGTTATTCATTTAGTGTTATCAAATTGAAAATTCAAAAATGTGTCTAAAAAATTAAATGATATGAAGAAGCTTCTTTTTCTTTTTTTAAATTGCTACATCTAAATATGAAGCTATCATTAAAATCATATCCAAATAATCTTAAATAATCAAACTTAAATTGACATGTGATAAAATTTCCACGACAATGTCACCAATTTTATAACCATATTAAGCTATTTAAATCTTATAAATTTATTCAACTTTGATGAAAATGAAACGGTAAATCAAATTTAGTCTTGCACAAATTTTGGTAAAATTTTTGAAAGGTAAATATGGAAATGTAGAAATGGATCATTTATTTTATAAATTATCACTTTTAGTGATATTTAGGAAATTATATTTATATTTATATTTAAATTATAGGAAATTATATTGACCTAATAAATAAATATACACAATTTTACAATTTAATTTATCCAACCGTTTCAATCTATTCAATAATTTCATAATCATTCTCTATTTCCTATAATTTTATCAAAATTTATCAAACATTTCATTGTTGAAGAAATTGAACTAATTTGATTTTTAATCTTAAAATTACCACCATTTCTTGAATTCTTATCAAATTATTCATTCTTACAAATCTATCAATCTCTAGTCAATCCTAAAAATTTCAAACTTTACAACTAACTTTTTTTTTTACTATTATATGATATATGAGTTCTTAATGTAATTTAAAAATTTCATCAAATTTAAATAAAATGCAATAAAATTGAGAAGAATTTTATTTTTGAAAATAATGAAAATTTTGAATAATAAAAATTGTTTTCTTTTCATTGAAAATAAAAATTGAAAAAATAAATTTGAATTTTTTTTTTTTTTTGGTAGGAAAAAAAACAAATAGAAAGAAGACATTGTTTGTTGCTGAAATTGTTTGAGTATTTTATCTGTTCGTATTGATCAATCGGAATTTTTTTGTGAAATGAAATGAAAAACTGATAAATTACACCGAAATATGCATACAACAATACATTTATATCAAATATATGGAATGTTAAAGCGGTAAAAAAAATTTGAATTTAAAAATTGAAATGAAAATTTTTTATCGGAAAAAAATTAAAAATAAATATAAAAGCAAAAAAAAAGAAGGGAAATTTCGTTAAATTAAAATAAGCAATGATAGGTTATAAGGAAGCTAATGTGCATTTGATAATTCAAACTAATGATCATTTTGTTATTAATTAATTAATTATTTGTCAAATATAGGTGAAATCAATTAATGATAACTAATAAGCAATGATGGATTATGAGGAAGCATAATGTGTATACATAATGTGATAATTCAAAGTATCAATTATTCCATTTTAAATAACTAACTAATTGTTTATCAGATACAGATAAAATCAATTAATGGTAATTAATAAGCAATGATGATGGATTATGAGGAAGCTAAAATGTATACACAATATGATAATTTAAAGTATTGATTATTTTATTTTTAATAACTAATTAATTATTTATCAGATATAAATTAAATCAATTAATGTTAACTAATAATTGTTCATGATAAGCATAAACTATATGAACCATATGTGGTAGTGAATTTTAATAATTATTAGCAAATAATTGCATTTGTTGTTATATCTTCTTTTCTTGATACAAAATAAATTTTGCCCAACGATACACCTGTCGATATTTTAATTGGAAATCAAATATCCAATATCAGTAAACAATAAACAGGATCAGTAAACAAGATGATGTCATTTAAAGAGAAAATGGAAGAAGAAAGAGGAGAGGAAGAGAGGAAGAAATGAGTGATCCATCCTATCGATCAAATGTAATTGTCCATACTTCTAAATTATTCCATCTGTTGATTTGTGGTTAAAATTCAACAGACAAAGATGATCTCTGGCAGATGACAATGATATTATTATTAACTGATATCAATTCTAATCAATTATTGACCATCTCATTTCATTATCTTTCTTTTTTTTTCTTAAATTTTAACATTCAAATTTTTTTAAAATGCTTGTTTTGTTTGGAATATATAAATGTAATTGCTTGGTGAAAAAAAAGAAAAAAACGGGATAAAAATTGATATTGATAGAAGTGATAATGATAGGGAAAAAGAACTGATAATGCTAAGAAAGTTAAAGAAGGAGATATTTGTTAAATGTTGATAAAATGATAATAATTTTAGAATTCCTTCTTTAAATTCCCTTTTTTTTCCTATTTTAAAATAACTTCTAATTAGGTATTAAAAAAAAAAAATGGAAATGGTGTATTATAAGATGATAAAATAATGACAACACTAGTAAATGTTATCAGGCTAACATAAATAGTAATTGATAAAATTTATTCAAAAATTTATCCATTTATCAAAAAAAAAAAAAATAGCAGAAATTAAAGTTTTCTATTAATTCTAAATTTTATATAAATATAAACTAATAAATTAATTTGAAAATTTTATAAAAAAAATTTAAATTTCAAAAAATTAAAAAAAATTGAAAAAGAAAAGAAAAGGATACAGCAAACTGAAAACTGAAAGGATATACATTGATAGATCATTGTTCCAAATG